GGCAGAGTCGATTTACTGGCATGGGAGCCGGGGCATGCTCTCCTCTACTCTGTGTGTGTGTGTGTGTGTGTGTGTGTGTGTGTGTGTGTGTGTGTGTGTGTGTGTGTGTGTGTGTGTGTGTGTGTGTGTGTGTGTGTGTGTGTGTGTGTTTGTGTTTGTGTTTGTTTGTGTGATTTCAATCGCAGACGGTTGATAGAAGCGATGCTATTGAGTTGAAGCTGATATGTTTCATTGTAATGTGGAATTTGCTGCAAGGACAGTGAATTTCTTTATAGTGGTCAACTAAATCCAGACTGACAGGTAGGGCTCGACCTTTAGTAAATGGTGTTTTAGGTTTTCCTTTATGTTCATGGATCAAAAAGAAAATATTGTTGTGAATATGTAACATTACACTCCAAGATAGGAGATCACAGTGATTCCTCTCAGACTTGAAATCAGCCCTTGGGTGGATGTGGAGGTTTTCTGTCAGAGAAAACATTGTCAGGCACAATGAGTCCCAGTTGTAGGGACAACTCCTTCAAGTGACCACTTCCATCGCTTGTTTGTTGGGAATTACTCCCTGATTTCAAGTTGAGCAACTTTTGGGGGTCAGAATGTTGATGAACACAGTTGACTCCTTTGGTGGCCAAGAGAGGTGAGACAGAGGGGATGGAGAGGCTCCTCTTGTGGCAGCAAAGAGAGCCCTGAAAAGAGAAAACACTCGTGCACACACACACACACACACACACACACACAAACCTCATATATGAGACACAGGAGCGGAAACGGGTCGAATCCTACTTCAAATTCTCTTTCCTCTCGGCTTGTCGACCGGGGAAAACAAACCGACCCGAGGCACAGCGAATGGGGATTTACTAATTAACTACTTACACACGCACACACACTCACTGGGAGAGAGAGAGAGAGAGAGAGACAGAGAGCGAGAGAGAGACAGAGATGCACACCTCTTTTCCCTCTCCCTCCTCCTCCTCCTCCTCCTCCTCCTCCTCCCGCTCCCCCCCTCCCTCCCTCTGCTCTCCTCCCCGGGTTCAGGTTGGTAGTAGTGCTGCCTCTCCGGTCGCTGGCTCGCTGCGCCGTCAGAGTGAATGCGTGTGGATAGACTGGTCGCACTTCAGCCGGTGAGAGCTTTAACAGCATTTCCTGAAACTAATACTGGAGGTACGTCGGTCTTTGTACATTTTATCACATATTATATTTCTTTCTTTTTTTTTTTTTTTTTTTTTAAAGAGGGTGAATTCAATTGTTTTTATCTGGAGGAGAAAAAAAAGTTGTGCTTGTTGTTGCGCACTTGTGGTTGTGTTTGAAATACGGCATGATATATTTGCGCTGGCGATATTATCCTTCGTTATTTTGAATAGTTTTGTTATTACTAGAAGAATTGTGCCCGTGGTTTTTGTCAGTTTGAGGACTGAAGCTCGCGACAAAAAGTTGAACGCTGCGTAATTTACGCAGGCTCTTTTTATTTGTGCGGCTATTATTTGGAAGCTTGGATTTTGCTCCTCAGCTGCGCTCTCCTCTTCGGAAACGTTGTGAAAGTTTTAAATCTTTTGCGAGCATACACTCAGACACACTCGCCGCGGGAGAGAGGTAAACGAATATCCTAGGTTTATTTTTATTTTGGCGTGCCTGTGTGCAGGTGTGAGAGTCTGCACTGGAGCACTTTGATGCGTTCAGCTGTCGGCGTTGGCCCGGATTAGCCTTTAAGTGTCTCTATTTGTTAAAGCGTCCAGCTCTCACCTCCACACCGCCGTATCAATCAGTCAATTAAACAGCCACTCACACACAGCGAGCTGCACGAGACCTCAGCCGGTGCATCTCTCTCTCTCTCTCTCTCTCTCTCTCTCTCTCTCTCTCTCTCTCTCTCTCTCTCTCTCTGGTCCGTGTGGTTGCGTGAGTGACCCCGTTTAATTTACCTTTATAAATATGTTAGAAAGTGTGTGTGAGAGTGTGTGTGTGTGTGTGTGTGTGTGTGTGTGTGTGTGATGGTAATGCTCGGGTGCATATATTTATTTTTTATTTTGCTCTGTCCTCAGCTTTGAGGTGTAACATCACTTGATATTTTTTCATTTTTCTATATTTTAAAAATAATTAATAATTAATTGATTGATAATTAATCAAGTGTTTGTTTTAGTTACGCAGCGTAAAGTTTGCGTCAAATTTTTAAGTTCACCCAGCCGCCATGAACAAGCTGAGTTTTCCGAGAATTTATGTGCCCAGTTCTTCATATAACCCCATTTGAAATCAACTAGCAACTTGTGAACTGATCTGTGCCCGTCTGTCAATGGAATACACCGAAGTTTACTCCATCAGGAGTGAAGTCGGTGATTTGGATGTGTGTTTTCAGACTCGCATGGGAGTTTGTTTCAGAAGTGGGCGCATCAATACAGTGCGGAGCCAGACTACAGAAAAAAAAATTATTTGGAATAATCTTTATGTGAATTCTGTGGTTTCTCCTCAGATTTTTCTTTTTTTCTTTTTAGGTGTTTACTCCGTTACAACTTTGATGCATATTTATGTGCGCCGTGGGTGTACTCCATCAATTATTTGTGCCAGTATATTTCCAGATAAACAGTGTTTGTAAATCAATACATGCATGTAACTATTGCAGATTAAGAGATCGATCAATGGATCCAGCCTAACCCCAACCAATGTTGTTTTTCTGCCGTCAATTATTCACATCTAACTTTACACAACACCAGCCAGCCTCAACAAAGTTTTAAAGCCTGTCTGCGTGTGTGTGTGTGTGTGTGTGTGTGTGTGTGTGTGTGTGTGTGTGGGGTGGGTGTGTATGTGTATAAGAGTGTGCATGTGTCTCTGTGACACAAAATCCGGATTTACAAGTTAGGAAGTTTAAGGTTAATTTGTTCAATTTACAGTTGACCACACAATAATTTACCAAAACATGTAGTAATAATAATAATAATAATAATAATAATAATCTACATTATATTGATTCTGGATTCCTTTAAAAACATACAACGCATAAATAAAATAACACTGAACTACAGTCTACTTTTCGGATTTATGCCTGTTTTCCAGCAGCACTAAAAGTGGTTTTAGCTTTTTGCACTTTGACTCAAATCAGAGAAGCTCAGTCCGTGCTTCAGCCTTTGAAACAGTCCGTCCAGTGTGTGTTTTTCTGGGTGTGAAGTTTCAGGCCAACGTGTTGAACCTCTCCTCTCCTGTCTCCCTCCACGAGCTCGTGCCGTTTAATTGGATTATTTCTCTGGTTTTGTGCTTCTTCTCGACGGCCGCCTCATCCGTCTCCGTGCTGTCAATACTTGGTGGAAATATTTCCGACATTAAATGGCATTTGGGGAAATTTCTCCCCACGTCACTCACCCTCCCCTCCTTCATCCTTCACCTCTGCACGGCCGCCTTTGAACTCGTTAACCCGTCCAATTACATTTGTTATAATATCCGCGCTTTACTAAGAAGAAAGATAAATTGTAAATATTCCTTCAATCACCGAGAGCACTTCTTTGCTCCATTTATTTACAGGGACAATTATAATAAGAAGACTCTATTGCATTATCATATAGCAAGCAGGATAAAACTTATTTTCGTTTCAAACTAATTGGCCTATTATTATTATTGTTATGATTATTACTAATATTGTTATTATTATTAATTTTATTATTATTATCGAACGAATAATCTGCACTTAAGAGTTTATTTCTCAAAGCTTCTTGGTTTGAACTTGAAACTCAACCTTTCCCACTTTATTTTCGATTATGTTATTCTATTATTATCATAATCGTCGTGTGATTTTATTTGCTCAGATTAATAGATTTAATTTAAAGTTTAAGAATCAAAAAATTCTGCACTAATTTGCTGCTGTTCTGCGCGCAATTCACTCACCGCCACTTTCACAACATATAAATGTTGCTGTTTGTTTTTTATCTGTATCTGTGCTTTTGCCTTATTTGTAGATAATTGTTAGAATTATTATCTTAGATTAAATTAGTTACCTCAGTTTTTAAAGTCCAATTTGTGCCTAAAATCAGACCTACTTTTCGGGTTATAATCGTGTTTCCTTGGTGATGGAGGTGGAGGTATAACGATTTTGGATGTAACCACCCTTCATAATCTTTTTTTCTTTTTGCTATTTTTCTTTCCTCTTTTTGGAAATAGAATATTGGCTTTCTTTTATTCATCAAGGCAGTCGACCTATGGGGGCTCTCACCTCTCCTCATCTCCATCTCATTCGGAAAAGAAACTTCTGACAGGTGCGAGAGGCGGGTTTGATTTTTTAAAAATGCTCTCATCCTTAATGTGTTGTCATCTGGAAAGCAATTTCGTATGATCAAAGTGCGGCTAGTTAGTGCGGTCAATATCCTTTCCAGCAAGCTTCTCATATATCGATAACAAGACAGCAGAGCCTCTCGCTGAGCTGCATTCAGGGCCTCTGTATCCGCTCTGTGTGCCGATAAACCCGGATACGTCCCGTGCGTAAAATGAGCCATAACCGCATATATAGGCAACATTTAAGAATGCTTTAATATAAATACAGCCTAATTATAAGTCAGTCTGGAGATTTTGTTGGAATATTGTAGAGACTTCAACTCGAAGAGACTAATAAATACCGTAAAGTGCGATAAGGTCAACTTCATTCACAACTACGTGCAAAAACGCACCATTAAAGTCATCATAGGACTATTAAAGTAATTTCTCCTACTGGCATGTCTTCCTCCCCCTCGCTGTCTCCGTTACTGTATGACAGTAAAGAGTAAATAAGGTGATTGATCTGTGGTCTGTGGGGCAGCAGTGGTCCTGCGGGAAAACAACACAACACAAGCACCAGAGTCGGCTTCACTCGGCACAGACCACCGATGCGCCATCGGTTCCCTGGGTTTATTTTCATGTTGTTTCATTTATTTTATTTTTTGGATTTGAATGGAAATGTTGTCCTCACAGACTTGTGAGAAAGTTTTTGTTTAATGACAATTTATTTTATCATCTGTTGTGTTTTTGTTTTTGTGTGTGTGTTTTTTTTGTAGTGACGCCTTCTTGCAGTGCGACAGCGGCACTTTCCCCTTTCGCCTCCTCCCTTCCGGATCGGAACAAGCGCAGCGGCGAACGAACTCCAGACCAGTCCGAGAGACGGTGATCGGGCTTCGGCCTCAGGTGTATCTCTGAGGCGGGGCGACGCGGAAGTCCAGGTGGGTGAACTTCTTCCTCATCCTTAATCTCAGTCTCCCTCTGATTTCCTCGCTGCTTTTCTTTTTCACTTTTATTTGTCTTTTTAAACGATGCTCATTAATTGCAGGAAAAAACCTAATATTTTCATATTGTAGGTACCTTAAGTCAGTTAAGGTCAATATGTTTTTCCTTGGGAGGAGTGGTGGGTTGTTGATTTAAAATTGAAGACCAGGACTGACTAGTGTATCTATGTGGAGATAAAAAATATGACACTTGCAGTTGGAATAGTCATTTATTATAAATCTTTCTTTTTAAGGTATATTACTACACAATATGAAGCCTTTGAGTCAACTCTCTGTGAGCGTTACTGAGGAACTAAGATGGCACACTGTGAACAAAGACATTTTGATTGTGATACAATGTGTAGCTTATGTTTTGGACGTTGTGAGATTTTCTTGTTCAGATACTTTGATCAGTTTTTTGATTTATTTGTGCTTTTTTTGAAACACCTCTTTCTTGCTTTTGAAAATGTGTCGGCGGTGAAGCAATACAGACCTGTCTGTGAATAATCAAAGGTGTCTAATGCGCCATGCAATAGCCCTTGGCCATTACCGATCACATGCAACATTCTCCTCCAGCCAGCCAATGTCTGAACGCTTCCTCCGGCTCCTCTGCTCCCCCCTAATTCTTCCTGTCTGATATTAGCCTCTTGGCGCACCTTAAAATTTGTGTTTCATTATTCATTATTCAACACACATTACGGTTTGGTTGTAGACACACTTCTACCTGTTACACTCCAAGACTATAGGGCAATTGAAGGACTCCTCTGTATCTTTTCCCACTATCTCCAAGGCTCTCCCTCAACCTCCTCCCCCTCTCCCGTTGCCCTCGTACCCCTGTTGTCTCTCGCTGCCACACCTGGTAACTACAAACTTGTACACAATAATAACAGCCAGATGTATCCATCTATCTCTCTATCTAGCCTGTCGGCAGTTAGTGGAGTGGCTGAGAGACTTGCAGGCGTGAAAGGTCAGTTAATCAATGGCGCACAATTTGACAAATCCCAGCGACTCTTATCATCCTCACGGGCGTTTAGGGCCGAAAGGAGGACCACCGAGATAAATGCTTAATCCTGACTGCACTGTGAGAGAGAGAAGGAGTGAGAGAGGACAGAAGCAGGAGCGCTTTGAAGCAGATGGACATGCAAAGGTTGGGAGGTTGGTTTGGGGGGGGGGGGGCTTTGAAAGAGTTGGTGAGTGGAGAGAAGAGAGAAACGGGAGAAAGAAGGAGACGTGGAAGTGGCTCAAAGTGAAACTGGAAGGTGAACAAATGTGTCCGCATTTGGAAATGACACATTCTCCCTTTTTCTCTGTCACAATCAAAAAACAAACATGCGATCATCATCAAATTTACCTCAGGTTGGACAGGCCATGCACATGCCCACTGGGCTGACATAGAAATCCTGGTTCACTCTCAGTTATGGCTCTGATGCTGTGTGTAAAGTTGAGAAAAACCTGAGGAAAACAAAGGTGTATGAGTGGTTGAATTCTCCTGTGGCATGTTAGCCCGCCTGCAGCAGTGTGCAACCAAGAGGAAAATGAGCTTTTGTCCACAAGGCTGGCCTCTTTTTTTTTCCCCTCAGTTTTTTGAACTGCAGGGGTTTGGAAGGTGGCACAATATCTTTGCCCTTATACCTTTAACAAGAATCATCCCAGTATGACATGGCGGCAGTTTTTTATTGAACTGTAATGCACACTTCATTTCTCGTTGAGGTTTATTAAGGCATGAATCTCATTTAGGTTAAGGGTCAAAATGATGTAATTGTCACAAACATTTTTTGAATGTGCGCGTGCATGTTCACGTTCTGTCCGTGTGCTTCTTGCCAGAGAGCTGCTTGAGCAATCACACAGACAGACGGCTCATGTCCTTTATCTCCATCTCAATACAAGTTCAATGTAATTCGATTGGGATTAGTTGCACTGGCATGACAGCAGATCCCTAGTATTGCCAAAGCACTTAGGAGGCAATGACAGGACCACATCGACGTGTGCTAACACGTACGTACACACCACCCCGCAACTGGCCAACCTTGTAGAGAGAGAAAAAACAGAGAGAGAGAGAGAGAGAGAGGCAAAGTGTAGAATGGAAAGAAAATGTGACAGCCAAGTCAGAGAGGTTTTGGCAAAATCTCAGGATGACAAAGTTAAAAGATGATAGAAAGTTGTCGAAAGAGTGTGAAAAGAAGAGGAGAAAAATGATGAAGGGACCCGGATGACGAGCAGAGCTGAAGCATGACAGAGTGCGTCCAAAAAGATGAAAGAATGATTGACTCACAGGGAGAGTGATGGAGAGAGAGGAGAAAGATGTAGGGAGATGAAATGGAGAAAATAACAGATGAGAAGATGCCGAAAAAGGAAGAGAAGGAAGGAGAGAGATGCAGGGAGGAAAGGGCTGAAGACAGAAGAAGGGAGGACAAGAGATAAAGGGTGCAAGAGAGGATAAAATGTTTAAGAGTGATGTACGAGAAGAGGGGAGAGGAAGAGATTTACTAGAAGAGAGATTAAGTCAAGTTGTCCCCGGTCAGTCATTAATCCGATTTAAGAGCAATTAAGGTGAGACTGATTCCTTCCTAGAGAGAAAGAAATAGATGGAGAGGGCGAAGAGAGGGGGGAGAAAGAGAGGAGACAGCGAGGGAGAGAAGAAAGGAGTGATTGAAAGAGAAAAGTGGGAAAATAAAACAGGTGTTAGAACTCTGAATGCCAGTTAGTGGACAAATCAGAAACAGAAAACACGGCTATATATTTCAAACTGTGCAATGTAATAATTTCACACAGTTCTAATATTCTACTACATGTACAAACTCTGATTTAAAATTAGATCAAGCTACAAAGTAAGGTGTGAAAACTGTTAAAGGTCAAACAGAGGTTAGAGTGAGAGATGAAATATATCTTTTAAAATGTTAGTACATAAGGTTTTGGTCGTGTTTCTCTCACACACTGGTATCTTTGAATAATCACGGATTTCCCGCAAGATCAGGATCTTACAGAAGTAACTCCAGACACTGTTGACGGACGCTTAACGTGAAAGCAACCAACCAGGACTTCCCGTCCGTTACTTAGAGCTCTGAAGTTGCAAAGTTGAGTTTAAGGTGAAAGTACTGTGGCAGGGAGGAGAAAAAGACAGAGGTAGAGAGACGGAGAGTGAGGGACAAAGTGGACGAATCCTCCTTTGAATGAAAATGGAAAAAAGCACAGAAGCAATGAAGGTAGCTCCACTCCTCCTCACCCTCTTCCTCCCCGTCCTGCTCCAACAAACCCCTCCAATCCCTGCTGCTCTGTTGTTTCCAGATGTGTATCAGAGGTCTCAGGGTCGACAGAGGGGTCCCTCCACTGCTGTAGCATTTCTGTGTCTATTGGGAGATTGTGGTCCTGATAGCTCGGCCGCCTGACACGTACACAACAGTACATAAATCAAACGCACACATACACGCACTCACTCCATTTATCTCCCACTCAAGCAGTTCGGTGATAGCAGCCAACTCTGCATAGAGTCAGAGAGAGGGAGAGGTTGTGGTCTGTCTTGTTAAGTGGGAAAGTAATGGGTAGCTGTAAAAGGTTTACTTCTGTTGCTGCCATCTCTATTGTTCAGGCCTTTCCAGTGTTTGTGCCTCTTTTGTTTGATGTGCTTGAACAGTTTATAGCACACTCGACTGCATCCATAATTGCTGTTCCACATAACTGCAGGACAACAGTGTGTTATTATGAAGCCTGTTAAGGCAAAGAATGGAGCAAATTGGAAGCAGAGGTCATAGATTTTGTTGTGCAACATTTTAGGCATCTGAATGGAAATGGTTTTACATGATTTCATTGACGAACATCAATGCTGAATACATCTGTTTTTTAAAAGCACCCCGCCATTATAGGTAAAATTACCTACACACATCTCCTTATTTAATTTCATTTTTTTATCCTGGCTTTTCATCCATCAAGATTCTGTCTATTTTTCTGTGGCGCATCCATTGCAGTTTCTGTGTACCAATCTGTAGCCCATCACAAGTCCCAGATTGAGAGGCCATTTGGCTGCTGTTGACAGGAGGGAGCAGCTATTGACAGGGCCCTGCCGGGGAGGCGTGTCTCAGGCCCCACGTCCAAAGCGTTCGTGGCGTTTAATACACTGTAGCAGTGTTCTTCGCAGCCCTCACCCTGCATGCTACTGCCATAGGGATCAATATGCACTGGGTTAGAGAGAAATGGACCATCTGATGCACACTCAGAGAGGGGGATGAGGAAAAAAGAGTGAGAGAGACAGAAACAGCAGGGAGGGGTGGGTTAGCAAGGGATTTAAAGGGAAAAAGAGAGGGACGGGCTTGAAAAAGGGGAGATGGCGAGACCAAAAGGAGGAGAAGAGAAGAGAGGAAATGATTAAAGCGCGGTTTAAAAGACATGGAGGCAGAGCGCTGCCCCGCACAAAGATAGATAGCAAGGGAGAGAAAGTGGTCAGTGGTTGAAAGAGACATTCAGCTGGGAGAGAAAACAGATTGGAGTGAACGGGGATAGACACTGAAAAAGAGGAAGACTCTAGACACCAGGGAGGATACACACAGGAAAGGAAAAAAGACATAAGGGAAGAGAAGAGGGGGAGATAGGAAGGGAGGGGGGGTAGACGAAAGGAGGGGGGGGAAACAGAGAGAGAGAGAGTGCGGGGGAAGGATGAGGAGGAAGGGTGGGGAGGGGGGTAAAATTTCCATCAGGTTTTCAATTGGGGCGGATCAATAGTGTATTAGAGCTCACCTTGACCCCGTCTCTCCCCCTTCTCCCCGGCCCAGCACACAGGCCAAGCTACTCTCCCTCACAGCAGGGGACGGAGAGGGGGAGAGATTGCATTACGGCCTCCCTTTCTTGGACCAAAGTGGCAGAAAATGGCACAATAAAAGCAAGAGCGGACAGAAAGAAAGAGGAAAACTAAGTCGCGGCAGGCAGAAACAGAGAACGTGGGAGACAAGGAGTAAGAGAGAGCGGAG